GTTTGTCCTCATCTATTTGCATTTGAAAGTGTGAAAGGATAATGGGTTCCCAGTGTTGTTGTATACATTTTCTTTTGAGCTTTGTTTTCATTTTTATTTTTTTAATATCTATTTGCTCTCTTGAATGGTACACGAGCTGGAGGGAAATTCTAAAATAATTCTGCTCTAGACATCTTTTTGGTGTTCTATAGTGACTCTTAATTCCATTGCAGAGAAATATGTTTGTATTATCTGATGTTTGTAGCAAAAACAATGATGGTGCTGATCATTTAAGAAATCAGATGAGAGATTCCTTGGTCATCCAGTGATCTCTGAGTCATCTCTTCCTGAGATGCCTGCCTTTCTTCAGTGTTAGAGGTGCAGCTCCTTTCACTGTTGGTTCTTAATATGCCAAGTCATTTTGAGAGAGGCTCACAGAATAGCCTGTGTTGTAAGGGAAGTCCCAGACATCTCTCCTCCTCAGTCATCCTGCACTGCTGTTTGGGAGACAGGAGTGTTTTGGTTTCAGACTTAGAGAAAGGAGATCATTCAGCAATGAGGAGACTATTGATACTGCGCACCACCCAAATGCATATCTTTCCTGTCATGCACATTACAATTAGCTGAATGCTGCCTAATGCAAGCCAGTTTTATATCACCTGTAATACACCTTGATAATCTTTAGACTATTACCATATTATTTGCTTGGTTATTTTTGAAAAATACACTTTATTCTAAGGAGTCAGATGGTTGAGCCCAGTTGAGACAGCACTCACAGTTCTATGATAATTCTTTGGCAGTCTTCTGATTCATGCTCAAGTCACCTCCAAAGAATGAGCTATGGGTATAAGTTTCTTTTTTATTGAGACTCATGCCATTAATCAGTTTCAGACTCTTTTTTAAGTTAACCATCGGATGCTAATATGTCTCACGAACTCATGAAGTTTTGCACAAAGAGCATTTTGCATCTTTAAAATTTAACACATGTTATTTTAGTTTATTACTTGCAAGGTACTTCGCATTTAATCTTCATGATAAATTGCAAAGACAGGCCTTTCTTCGATTTTCTGGGTGAAGAATCTGAGACTCACAAGTTAAATTATCAGCATAAAGCTACGGTAAAGTCAATGATATTATTTAATAATTAGGATGTCTATTGCTAGCATTAGAAGTCTCCATACATACCAATAATGAAAATACATCTTCAGGGAACACAATCATATGTCTGGATGTTAATAAATCATGTACATCAGAATCAGCCCTTAAGGCATGTGGATCCAGCTGAAAAGCCCATGAGAGTATTTCAGGCATGGAAAGCCAAGACACTCTGGCAAAACAAAACAAAAAAAAAAACAACAAAACAAAACAAAAACCTAAATGAAAGATCTCTGTGAGTGAGATCCCAGTGTAAGAATGGGCCATCAAAGAAGGAGGTACCTTTCGCCTTTCTCAGAAGGAAGGGGAGAACTTCCATTTTGACTATGTCCTTGTCTAAGATCGGAGTTGGCGAACTCAAGAGGCTTCCATAGCCTTGGCAGCTCATGACAAGAGCCTTGGGTGATTACTGACGTCATAAATAAGAGTGTCAATTGTTAAATCTACAACAGGAGTCACTGTGCACTAACTCCCCATGCAGGATCTCTGTCCTTAATGTGTTGTACTATGTGAATTAATGGCATAACTAGCACTCAAACAGTACTTTACACTTTGTGTTTCTGTGTGGGTGCAAACTGTTGAAATATTTACTTAGTAAATACTAAATTGATCTTCTGTATATAAAGATAATTGAAAATGAATCTTGATGTGAATGGGATGGGAGGAGTGGGAGATGGGACAGTTACGGGTGGGCAGGAGGTTATGGGGGGAAAAAGCCACTCTAATCCAAAAGTTGTACTTTGGAAATTTAAATTTATTAAATAAAAGTTAAAAAAATCATCTATAGTTAGGTCAGTTATTTTTACAGTAAATTTTTAGGAAATATATTTGTATTCATTTACTATGCAATATAGCATATAATATGTATAATGTAAAATTACATGCAATATAAAATAATTTTGTTTTTATATTAAATGTTCAACAAACACTAGAAATTCCTTTTTTCATATCATGATAAACTCTGTTTTACAGATGAAAAATTGATGCATGATTTGTTAAATGGTTTGCTCGTATAGCTAGATGCATACTCAGGATTCACTATCCCATTTTTCTGATTCTTGTTTTTTTTTTTTTTAATTTATTTATTTGAAAGTCAGAGCTACAGACAGAAAGAGGAATACAGAAAGAGAGATCTTCCATCTGTTAGTTCACTCCCTAAATAGCCACAATAGCCAGGACTGGGCTAGGTTGCAGCCAGGAGACAGGAGTTTCATCTGGGTCTCCCACTTGGGTGCATGGGCCCAAGCACTTGGGCCATCCTCCGCTGCTTTCCCAGGCACATTAGCAGGAAACTGGATTGGAAGTGGAACAACTGGGACTCAAACCAGCATCCATATCGGATGCTGGCTTTGCAAGCAGAAGCTTAACCCATTATGCCAGCCCCATATTTTTTCTAATTCTTGATGCAATACTCTTTCCTTTATAACATGATACCTTATGTTAAAACTTTCAAAATGTAAGACCACTGAATAGATAACCAGCTGTTATAGCATAGATATACCTGTCCGAACAAACTGGCTTACTCTGTAATTATCAATTATATGAAATACAAATACCAGAGAAATACTGAAAGAATAAATTTGTAGTTGAAGTATTTGAGACCTAATTTTATCCTAACAGGTCACAAATATACTTTAGGCATATGAGGAAAATGACCAGTTTTCCCAGGGGGAATATATGTGTATTCTTTATCAGTTTTAATCAAATATGACCCAGATATGTATGTCATAAACTATAGTCCTGATACCATCAGCACATTCTATACATACATTCTAATGTAATTACCATAGCTTGTGGTAGTCAAATTCTCACATAGTGTATCTGATTCATAGCTTGACTCTTCTTGGGTTAAGTGACTGTGCCTTGCCATTTTTTTTTTTGCACAGCTAACTTGGGAGAAATTCATAATTTTAAAAATATGTTTTTATTTATTTGTGAGGTGAAGTGATTGAGAAATATAGATAGATATCTTCCATCTGCTCATTCACTCTCCAAATGCCTCTAACATTCAGAACTGGGCTAGGCGAAAGCCAGGAGCCCGGAACTCTATTCAGGTCTCCCACACAGGCTGCAGAAACCTGTGTTCTCAGGGCATCTGATGCCTCTGAGACACCTTAGCAGGAAGCACGGAGTACCCAGAACTCAAACCAGGAAGTCTTTTAAAAAAGATTTATTTTATTTATTTGAAAGACAGAGTTAGAGGGAGAGAGAAAGAGAAAGAGAGAAGGTGGGAAGGAGGAAGAGAGAGAGAAAATGAATTTCTTCCATCCACTAGTTCACTCCCCAAATGACCACAATGGCCCCAGACTGGGCCAGACTGAAGCCAGGAGCCAGGAATTCATCTGGATCTCCCATGGGGTGCAGAGGTCCAAGGATGTGGGTCATCTTCCACTGCTTTCCAGCATGTTAGCAGGGAACTGGATCAGAGGTGGATGTGGCATGCTGGCATTGCGTGCTGTAGCTTAACCCATTATGCCACAATGCCAGCCCCAAACCATGTACTCTTATGGGATCCAGATATCTCAAGTGATCACTTACCCCTGTGAACCACAATGCCCACCCTAGAAATATGTAATTCTTAAGATCCATGCATTTAATCAAAACAGTTGTCATTTCTTGCCAGAACCTAAATCCGGTGTTGCAACATAGGAAGACTAATAGGAAACTTGCTCCTTAGAGAGAGCCCTAAGACAAGTTTAAAAGCAAAGACTAGTCACACCTTGGTAACCTATAGTCAGGAGGAGTTGTGAATATTTTATTTTATATATAATCACCAGTTTCCTTTGCCTTTGGCACATACTCATTATAAAGATTTCGTTTTCTAATTTCCATATTATTTTTCATAGTATGTGTTTGAAAATAGTCATATGAAACTGAATATACTCAGAGACATACATGTGTATCAATATGTGCAAATATTGGACAAAATCAAGTTGTAGAAATTTTTACTTCAGGTTGAATCAGACTTGAAATTTGTGTAGCAGAAACAGTGCTGACCATAAGCCAAAGTAAAAAAATAAGTTAAAAGACAAGGGTTGCTTGCATGTCACCCCATTTTACGTCTCTGGCCTTGCTTTGACCAACCACCTAGGTGTCTTCACCATGACACTATCAACTGTATTGACCAGAGTCCTTTTCAGAGTGTTATTCACAAAACTTGAAGACTTTCATTGTCATAAACCTATAATTTGTTAGTCATATATTCCTTGTCAAATAACCATTGTGAAGCTCTTGAGCTCAATATTATGAGCCTGCTTCTGAGTGATACTTTTGGAAGACTGGTTCTGAACAGTCTACAGTCACAATGCTGACTGCTACATAGGTATCTTCTCTATGATACTACCATGTTCTCTGATGGGAGAATTTTTGGCACTGCCTGGGACATTTGCTTTCCCAGGGCCCCCAGCAATATCGGAAGACAAATAGTATGAATATCATTTAATTTAATATAAGAATGAAATGGACATTAGTTTGAAGACAAATAGTTGATGTTCTATTTGTTTGGAGTGCAGAAAGAAAATATAGGCCCATCACTTCCAATATGTCCCAACTTGAATACAGGTTACTTTCTGAAATATGGTAAATACATAGTGATTAATTTTGAAAATGGAATTGAACTAGGGTAGTTATTAGTGTATGGTATCAGGTAGCATTGTCAGCTTGTACTATCTGCTTCTAAGACTGTGCATGAAACCATAAAGAGTGAATTGTAAAGAACTACTGTTGGTTTGAACTACTGAAGAGTTTGAGTCTTCTTGGTAATAATAATTGTGTATGAATGAAATCAGCATTTGGATGGAGAAAGAATAACCCATATTGGAAAGTAATCACAGCTTTTATGTTCTTGTGTGTGTGCACTTTGACAGCTTTTTGGAGACTACAACCTATTTCTTCATGAAACCAAAAATTGGAGAGAAGGAGGTGTCCCCAAATGTTTTCTTCAGTATCTGGCATGAGTTCAGCTCTGACTTTAAAGACTTTTGGAAGAAAGAGAACAAACTTATTCTACAAGAGAGGTAGGTGTTTTCATTTGCACAATGGCATTTTAAAACTGGTATTTTATTAGGTGTGACGCCACTGGGGTTGCCAACTTTTATAGCCTGAATGAAAAATTAGATGGCCCTCACCCTGGGGCAGCAAATCGAAGAGGGTGCTGACATTTTGGAAAATGTGGAGTTTGAGTACGAAGAGTCAGCATAGAGGCTGTGATGCTACAGAGAATAATTGGGGTGGAGGTTTGCCAGGATCAATACCTGGCAAAGCAACTTATGTTGTGAGGGAACTCCACAAAAGCAGACCATGTAAAAGTTAGACCTCCTTGCTGGGATGATAAACCCACTCACCTTAAAAGATAGATAGCAAAGACTGTAAAGGCATTATTTTTGTGTTTGTGTTTGTGTTTGCTCAACTTTATGGAGTGGGTCAGTTTTACTGTTCGTATCAAAATTTTATCTAGATGTCACCAAGAAACACACATGATCAATATTTTTTAAAAAACCTTTTGAGACCTTTGCAGAATTTCATCTCATTTCCTAAAATAAATCTTTTCAGGAATGAAGAGAAGTTTCTCCTCTTAAGTATGTGGAATGAAGTCTCTGTGATGATGAAATTCCATGGAGGCATATTAACTATTAGGTCATGAAGAAAGCTAGCCCTCCCAAGCTCTCAGCCCCAAATAGCTAAGCCTAGTGGGAAAATGAAAAGGAAACATAATCCACATTATAAAGCAAATCCTAATACCAAACCAATTAGTGCATGCTCCCTAACTTCCTTGCCCTAACCGTGCCTTTGCTTTAGCTCTTTAGAAAACTTACATCCTCAGACTTTGCTCATCATTACCATAAAATTTCACAGTTTTCTGCTTATTGTCTTCATTTTGGTCTGCTTCCACATGAAACCATGTTTATTAATCTAGTTTTCATGTACAAATAGATTTTGATACTGCCTTAAATCAGGTGAAATTAATTACCAGCTTTTATTGAACATGTAGACTCTGCCAGACTTGCACTCACTCTTGTAATTAATGAATTTGAATTCGTATGTCTGACATAGAAGAAACAGTACCATAGTGAGTACTATATGGAAAAAGAGAGCAGTTTGAACATAGAGAAAACACTCTAAATGTCTACTTTAAAGATAATAAACTTATTCTACTTCAAAGGGAATAAGTAGGAGTTGACATAAAAGATGTGATGTTAGTGAAACACCCACAAAGTGAGATAGGAGAGAGAATTGCTTAAAAATAAGCATATTTGAGTCATCATTCATTTCCTTCAAACTTAACCATGTATTAGGTGATTTTTACTCAAAAAAGGTTTGTTTAGGTTGGAAAAATGTAAGGAAACTTTATAGTTCATCACACACAATTTCCCTTCAAGCTCCTCTCTGGGTCTCCTTTCATCTCTGATCTAACTTTGTTCCCCTACCCAGAAAAGGACCTGACACTCATTCACACTAAGGTTCCACAGGAAAGATTAACATTTTACCTTGCACAATTACTTGCATTGTATCTGGGATTAGAGTCCTAAGTAAGAATGGAGATGATTTGATTTAAGCATCCACAAAGTGGGAATGCCAACATTGTCATTTTGGAATAGCTGCTCTAATGCATGTTGGGTAAGCAAGTGCATCACAGTAGAAGAATGGCTTTTTCCTGGCCAGCCTCCTGAGATCTCAGGCCAAGGACACTAGGTAGACAGTCTCATCATCTCCTTCCCCTACCACCACATGCCAGAGTGTAAGCTGGTGGGATGCCATTCTGCAGATATTGTTGAGATTATTTCAGATGCACACCTTCCTAGAAACATGTCCTATGGTCCACAGCTGTGTTTCTAAATAACATTATCAACAGCAATATGTGATTATCTGGTATTGTATGCATCTGACAGACCCAGAAAGAGCTTTTCTTCACTGACACATATCTTATAACATCAAGTAGATCCTTGTTATGTACTTTATCTTGTGCTTGTCATGCCCTAGAATATGCTACAAACTTTTGGACACATACTTGATGGCCTTGCTTTCATTTTGGCAGTGTTGTAAATTGGCAGATTATCATTGCTTTCCACTATAGACTTCTCATTTTTTCTAAGTCATTTGCTTTTAATAAAGGGCTAAATAGGAACATGTGACAGGTGAGAGATTACTGCTTTGCCCTTTGACTTTGAAATCTATTATACCTCTTGGCAAATGATAACCAGGCCGCTTTGAAAAGCAAGAGCATTAGTCTGAATTATTTGCAGAATAATTTTCCTTAGTACAGGACCAGCTACATAATTTCTGGGAAATAGTGAAAAATGAAAATGTGCATTCTTTTGTTCAAAAATTATCAACTTCAAAAAGGCAAAGCATTATACCAAGCACAAAGCCATTGGAAAAGTGGTGCCCTGTACTTCTGCTGGACTGCATACCAATGGTTATGGCCCTGATTTTGTGAAAGCATTCTATCATATTTTATGTATTGAAATGGAAGGGTATTTCAGGAATGTGTTGAGTGTCCTGGGACATTGACAGCAAATTAGGTTATGGTTACTTAAAAGTGTGCAACCTCTGGTCCAGTCATCATCACTGTGAGTAGACTCTCATATAGAATTACAAATATTTAAAATGAATGTTGCACTCTAAGTTCTCTATCTCCCTTCTCTGTACCCCTACATTTACTGTAAACATATTTTGATTCATGGCTAATCCTATACTCCCTAACAATTTGTTGCATTTTTATTGTATGCTATATGTTTTTGTTGTTTGCATTCTGGTATTTATTTCCCAACAAGATATCAAGTGTCTTTGTTTCTGGTATCACTATTATTGAGCCACACTGCCTTTCTCTTCTTAGAGTCCCCACAAAAAACTGCTGGTTAGGCTTGTTACATCATTGCCTATGACACAGACATGGAAATAAGAACTTAGCCTATTAATGAACACATTTTCTTATTAAGCTACATTGATCATTGTAAGTAATAAAAACTCCATTCCAAACACCTTGAACAAAAAGAGACATTTGGTTTAGAAAAATCAAACCATAGAAGGGCAGGGATGCAACTTGCTTGTGGAACAACTGAATGCATAAGTCTACCTGTGGTTAGTGGGGTTAGTCAAGTGGGTCTCCAACTGTCTCTTCCACTACCTTGTCAAAAGGCCTTCCTGTGTCCCTCTCTATGTCTTTCTAATCCTTCTCCCTCTTCTTTTCCCTTCCCTCCTCATTGTTCCTCCCTTTTCCCATGGATTAACTATATTCCCCAGCCAGGCTACTCCTTTAACAGTGAACTTGTGGCTGGCATTTCACAACCCAGGAGGAGGGAGCACTATCTTCATGTTGAAAATTCCCCATGAGGAATTCCAAGTGAATTGCATCAGTCTTTGGATCTCCCACAGTTCAGAACTTCACAAACCCAATGTGGCAGCCAGAGAAGAGGGTTACAGCAAATGGCAGTTGTCTTCATTGCAGTATCTTTGGAATGAGGGAAGAACAGTTCCCCCTCTCAATTGCTCATGAAGTCTTCAGAAGTAACCCATGTAATTAGCAAAATGTCTTAGCATGGTAGAAATAACCTGAAAGATGATATTAATGGTGTCCTTGAAATTTTCCTTGCTCTAATTTGGTGTTTATAGATTGAATAATTATCTTTAAAATCCTGTATAAGATTTCTTTACCCTCTTATTTCTAATTGATGTCTCATTACAGGGTGGTAGTAACTCTGTGTTTTCTTGCTTTGCTCTGACAGTGCATATAATTTAATATATTTCTTGAAATGGGGAATCTCTACATGTTCATATTGAGCATGCTATCTTTCTAGTCTATGTAGTTTCAAAACATGAGATCTTTTAGATATCTCTGCCACTTACTAGCTCTAAGACAGTACAAATTCTTTTATCCCTCCCAAGTCATAGTTTCCTAACCTGCAAAACGGAGATGATGATATCCGTCTTACGGTATTGTATCATGTGTACTAAATAAAAAGTTTCCAGTGTTTAGCATTTTGTACATGCTAGATATCCCATGATTATTTGTTAATCATTTAGCATAAATGTTGTACCAATTATGGCTTCCTACAAGGTAATATAATGTGTTGATAAGGCAGGGTAAGCATCTTTAGAACATAGTCTATAAGTTCAAGACAGCGTTGTGACTCAGTTACTTTCTCAGGTAGGTACAATGTTTTGGTTAATCTGAGAATGAACTTTTGTTTAAAAATGTCACTGCAACATTTAACTCCATATCTACACAATAAAATGTGATAGAATCCTATTTAATGCTTAGGACAACTGACACACTGGTTCTGTCATGAGTTAAAAAAAAAAAAAGTATTTCTCATCTACTTGAAACCAGACATGTACAGTCTTTCGTAAGAAATCCTTTTTAAAAAGGTCAAAACATGTCATCACTGAGCAATACAGAATGTAAGAAAAATAATTTTTGAATTTCTCAATTTGACTGTATTCACTAGAAGATAGGGATAAACTAACATTTCTTATGCCAAGCACCTCACTGAAGGTCTCACAGGACATAATATGTGAGGAAATTGCCCAGCTTCATCTCTGATTTTCAGGAAGACATTAACTTCAGTGTTACCTGGCCATTAATGAGGCCCTTTGAAAATAGGACAGCCAGAGCTGTATTAATTAGAAGAGAGAAGTACAGATGGAGATGGATTAGGAATGCATGCACTTTTTGACCGTGATTAACAGGCTAAGTTCCAGGTCCTGGGAAAAAAGGGCAGTGTCAGGGGTTGGGGTGGGAGACTTCCCAAACAACCTCACATCTCACTTTTGCTTTATTGTAAGTTGAACTCGAATTTCAGACAAAGTGTCCCTCTCTATGTCTTCATGTCTAACATGAAGTTATCTGTGATTTTTCACCCCTTCCATATTTTTATTAGACAATAAGGCAGTCAATTCTCTTCTATGAAGGTCTTGTCTTCCTTGAGCTAACAGGTGTGCAATAGTATGCAGTGGGAGGAATGACGAAGAGGATTCTTCCTCCCCAAAGGACTTTTGGTGTGGATCTTAGAGCTGG